CCCCTCCTGGCCCCCAAATTAAATTACCTTTAAAAAAAAAAAAAGCCCTTGGGACTGGCAGGTGCTGGGCTCTTTCACATGGCTGACCACGGTTCAAGTCTCAGATCTGGTGTCTTTCTCTCTCACTTTTTCATCAAATATAATAATAACAAATAAATTTTAAGAGCCCTTTTGGCGCTCTGTGCAGTACCATGGTGGTTGGCAAGAATAAGTGCCTTAAGAAAGGTGGCAGAAAGGGAGCCAAGAAAGTGGTTGATCATTTTCTATAAAAGACTGGTATGATGTGAAAGCACCTGCTATGTTCACCATGAATATTGGGAAAACACTAGTCACCAGCACTCAAGGAGCCAAAAGTGTGCCTGACGGCCTTAAGGACCTTAGGTTTGAAGTGAGCCTTACAGATCTGCAGGATGATGAAGACACATTCAGGAGATTTAGGCTAATTACTGAGGATGTTCAGAGCAAAAACTGCCTGATTAACTTCCATGACATGGATCTTACCCATGGCAAAATGTGTTCCATGGTCAAAAAATGGCAGGCCTTTGTGGGAGCGCATGTCAAGACTACCGATGGTTATTTGCTTCGTCTCTTCTGTGTTGGGTTTACTAAAAACTCAACAGATGTGGAAGACCTCTTACTCCCAGCATCAGCAGGTCTGCCAAATGCGTAAGATGATGGAAATCATGTCCCGGGAGGGTAGACAAATGACTCAAAAGAAGTGGTTGATAAATCGATTCCAGACAGCACTGGAAAAGATGGAGGAAGGGCTTGCAAATCCATCTATCCTCTCCATGGTGTCTTTGTCAGAAAAGTAAAAATGGCGAGGAAGCCCAGGTTTGCATCGGGGAAAACTCGTGGAGCTTCATGGTGAAGGAGGTAGCTCTGGAAAAGCTCCTGGGGATGGGACAGGCACAGAAGTTGAATAGGCTGATGGATATGAACCACCAGTCCCAGAATCTGTTTAAGATCAGATTTTTTTTTAACTTTATTTATTTATTATTTAAATTTGATGGGAGGGACACAAGCTGCCAGGTCCGGGACCCGAATCATAGTCAACCATGTGGCAGTCCAGCACCCTTAACCACCATGCCACTTGGTGGTCTGTAAAGATCAGACTTTTGTTTTTGAGAGAGAGAGATTTTCGTTGTATGGCATGTGTGCTTGCCGGAAAGACAGAGACAGAGACAGAAAGCGAGAAATCACCTCCCGGTGGGGATGGCCACGCTGCAGTCCCTTCTCCTTTTTCCTCTCGGGATCTTGGGCACACATGCACACGCGCCCGGCGTGAGTTTAAGCCACCGGGTCCAGGACTCGAACCACGATCGACTACATACATGGGAATCCCGTGACATAGCCATTACAATAATTACTGGTCCCTTAAAGATCAGACTTTTAATAATGACAAAAAAAAAAGTTCTGTTTGCACAGAGAGGGGAAAAAATCCACACACACATGGGCACGTGGAAGAAAAAAAAAACTTGTACTATGTTCAAAGCTTGTTATCAGGGCACTCACTGCGAGGGATGCATTGTAGTCTGCTGTCTAAGGGCTCAGAATTCATACATCTGAGGGTGATTAAGATTGATTATGGTGGGGACCAGCAGGTGACGGGCGCCTAAGGCACTCGACTTCCACATAGTTGATTGCGGTTCAAGTCCCAGACTTGGGAGCTTGCTTTCTCTCTCTCTCTTTCTGTATCTCTCTCTAGTGAGCACATGTACCCTGAGACAAATTTTTAAAAATAATAATAATAAATAATTTTTAAAAGAAATGTATTATGGTGGGCAAATGTGACACTGAACTGAACCATACTCCTACTCAGTCTCTCTTTTTTTTTTAACCCTTGAGCCTGTTGAAGGAAATGTTTAGCCTTCACCTCATTTGTTTATCTTTGCGTGTAATGGTGTTCTTGCCTGGCCAAGCCCTCAGTCTTCCTAACTACTGGTCACTAAGGCCGCCTTTTGTGTGCTATGAGGCTGGTGCTCTTACCAACAATAATAGAATATGTGATTATTGCATGTATAGTAGTTAACTCCTCTTTGATAAGGTCTTTGTTGTAAGGAATAATTTTCAAATCAGCCTCATATGTAATACAGAATTCATAATTAATTACTTGAGAAAATAATTAATGCCTATGTGTCATCCACACTTCAGTTCTTAGGTCTGAATTGGATTGGCCAGAATTAGAGGATGAATAAGATAGCTCTTTAGAAAATAAGATGAAATGGAACAGAAGTTGTTATTATCTTAGGTCTAGTTTATAGTTTTTGGTTTTTGTTTGTTTGTTTGGGGGGGGGTTTCTGTAGGGCGCATGCACTTGCCAGAGAGAGAAAACGAAAAATCACCTGTTGGGGGGGCAGCCGTGCCACAATCCCTTCTCCTCCATTCTCCTCAGGATTTGGGGCACATATGCGCACGCCCGGTGTGAGTTTTAAGCGACCAGGTCCAGGGCTCAAACTGCAGTCAACTACATGGGAGTCTAGCAACATAACCGTTACTCCATCTTCTGGTCCCTATAGTTATTTTTATAAAAGATCTACTGGGTTGTTGGAAATGTCATGGCATATTTTTTCTATTTTTCTATTCAAAAAGGCGTTATGACTTTCCTGACAACCCAATGACTTCAGTGTAAGCAGAGAAAGAGAAAGTGAGAAAGCGAACTGCTAGGTCAGGGACTCAGACTTTGGCCAGCCATGTGGGAGTGCCTCGACCACCGTGCTACCTGCTGGCCTCCTTGGCTTTTATTTAGAAAAGTTCCCATTGCTGGGGCCAGTGGGTGACATGGCAGTTAAGGCACTGGATTCCCTCATGGCAAATCACAGGCCCTGCCTGAAAATCATGCCAGGTGCATGTACATGCATGCCCAGAGTTCCAGGAGGAGAAGGGATTGTGGCATGACCATCCTCAGAGGCGATTTCTCACTTTCTCACTTGCACCCGATGGCAGAACCTTAAAAAAAGAAAAAGGGAAAGAAAAAGTCAAACTTCTAAAGATTCTAGGTATTGAAGGTAGCAGGTGGCATAGTGGTTAAGGTGCTATACTCCCTCCCATATGACCATCCACAGTTTGAGTTCTAGACTGGTGGCTTGAAAATCTTGCCAGGCACGTGTGCGTGCATGCCCAAAATGCCAGGAGAAGGGCATGAAGCATGACCATTGCGGGGCGTGTGATTTTTCCCTTTCCATCTCATTGTCTCTCTCTGATGAGTACACAGACCTTTATCAAAACCTACCCCCAAGCCAAATAAATAAATGAGAGAGAACGTCTTTTAAAAATCATGGTTGTCCCTTTAAGAAAAAGATTCTAGGTATTTTTTCTTTGTTTTGTAATTCGAAGGCTTCTTTATTTCCTTTCTTCTGGACCAGCCTGCTAATACAGGGGCTAGATCCCACATGGCCAACTCAGAAAACATGCTGATCGTATGTGCACGTATGCCCGGAGTGCTGGCGGAGATGGGAACGGAGAGGGAAGGATTTGGCATGACCACATCCCACTGGGGCCTCCTGGGGCCCGCTGAGGCGGGGGTGCCCTTTTTCTCCCTGCATGTCTCTCTGGCAAGCACATGTACCCTCTAGCAATGAAAATTTAAAAATATTTTCTTCATTCTCCCGTGTAGGTTCAGTGGTCACCTCACAATGAGACTATTTTGGCTTCCAGCGGTACTGACCGCAGACTAAATGTCTGGGATTTAAGGTAGGTCTTGTATTAGTTGCTCTCTCCATGGAGTTGCTTTCTTTATACTTTCCAAAGCAGTCTCATAGAGAAATCTGTTTTGACTTGTAATGTTACTTTTCTGTGGCAGTAAAATTGGAGAGGAACAGTCGCCAGAAGATGCGGAGGATGGGCCACCAGAGTTGTTGGTATGTTGCCAGCAGGTGTGGTACTGGGATCGCCCGTAACTGAGCGGCCCCGGTCTGCAGTTCAGCTTGTTTTCTGCCCTCTTTCAGTTTATTCATGGCGGTCACACTGCCAAGATATCCGATTTCTCGTGGAATCCCAACGAACCTTGGGTGATTTGCTCTGTATCAGAAGACAATATCATGCAGGTGTGGCAGATGGTAAGTGGTCATTTATTTGAGAGAAGTGAGGTAAATGAGACCATACCATTCCGTTCTTACACACCTCGCGAGTGTGGTTGCGACCTCTCTCCGTCTGTTCCTGGATGTGACGTGCTGGTCCGCACGGGATGGTCTCAGCTGCTCGTTCCTTGCATTTATCTGGCGGTCTTGCCGGCATTTCAGACAAAACTGATCTTCTCTCCTGCTTCTCCTGAATTTTCTTTCCTCCTCCTTAGTTTGCTATTTTCTGTATGGCTCTAGTGTTTCTCTGGCTCATCAGATTCAGAGACTTTTTGAGTTTTGGGACCAGCAGTTAGCGTAATGGCTATGTCGCTGGACTCCCATGTAGTTGACTGCAGTTCGAGTCCCAGACCCGGTGGCTTAAACTCACGCTGGGTGCGTATGTGTGCGTGCCCAAGATCCCGAGAGGAAAATGGAGAAGAAATTGCAGCGTGGCCATCCCCCTGGGGGGTGATTTCTCGCTTTCTATCTCTCTGTCTCTGTCTTTCTGGCGAGGGCGCACGCCCTATAGCAAAAACCTCTCCCCCCAAAAAAAAAAAAAAAACTTTTTGAGTTTTCAGAACAATTTTTTTTTTTTTTCTCTGAGAGATTTTCGCTACAGGGTGTGTGTGCTCGCCAGAGAGACAGCAAGAAATCACGCCCCGGGAGGATAGCAAACCGCAATCCTTTCTTCCTCCATTCTCCTCTTGGGATTTTGGGCACATATGCCCGGTGTGAGCTTTGAGCCACCAGGTCTGGGACTAGAACTGCAGTCAACTACGTGGGGGAAGTTGAGCAATGTAACCATCACGCCATCTGCTGGTTCCAGGATTTTGCGTGTCTTCTCCATGTCTATTCACCTCTAGGTCTAGTTCAGGTAACAGATTTTATATCATCCCTTTGTATTATTTTGTGTGTGTGTGTGTTGTTTTTTTGTTTGTTTGTTTGTTTGTTTGCGGGGGGGGTGGTTCTTGCCATAGGGGGTGTGCGCTTGCCAGAAAGAGACAGAAAGTGAGAAATTATCCCCCTGGGGGGATGGCCATGCCACAATCCCTTCTCCATTCTCCTCTCGGGATCTTGGGCACGCACACACACGTGCCTGGCATGAGTTAAAGCCACCAGGTCCGGGATTTGAACCACAGTCGACTACATGATAGTCCAGCGGTATAGCCATTATGCCAACTGCTGGTCCCACATCCCTTTGCGTTTTGAGAGCAATTGAATAGTTTACATTTAGAATGACATGTGGCATGGTAGTTAAGGTGACTGGAGTCCCACATGACTGACCGTGGTTCAAGTCCCAGACCCAGTGGCTTGAGAATCATGCTAGACACATGTGCATGTGTGCCCAAGATCCCAAGAGGAGTATGGAGAAGGAATTACAATGTGGCCAATCCCCCCAAGGGGTGATTTCTTTTCCCCCCCCTGTCTTTCTGGTGGAGGGCACATGTCCTGTAGCAAATTTTAAAATAGTAATGATAAATAAAATTAAATAATTTTTTAAGATAAAAAGAAAAAGAAACCTTTATGGGAACCAGTGCTGAAGTAGAAAATTCTAAATTATAACTGATGAATAAATAAATGAATGAATAAATAAAATTAAATAATTCTATTTTAAAGTGTGTGTGTGTGTGTGTGTGTATACACAAAATAAAGCTATGAATTGAAGATAAAATGAATGTGGCCTGCCAGATTAGTAAGATTGTACTATGTCCATACTTGGCAATATTGCATATCAAAAGAAGGGTAGATCTGTGACATGTTCAGGGCCTCCTAGTAAATAGGGAGGGAAGCCGACTAGAACAGCATGATGGTATCTCTCACATTAAAATTTTGTGCCAGGGCCAGCAGATGATATGGTAGTTAAGGTGCTAGGTCCCATATGGCCAATTCCATGGTTCAAGTCCCAGACCTGGTGGCTTAAAAAACATGCCAGTCACATGTACATATGTGCCCATGATTCTGAGAGGAAAATAGAGGAGAACGGATTTATTGCATGGCCATTCCAACTAGGAGGTGGATTTCTCACTTTCCCTCTCTGTGTCTCTGGCGAGCGAACGCACCCTATTGCAAAAAAAATGTTAAAAAAAAATCGTCCATCTGATCTCATGTTTAATTTCACATCATCTGATCTCATGTTTAATCTCACATCATCTGATCTCGTGTTTAATCTCACATCATCTGATCTCGTGTTTAATCTCACATCATCTGATCTCGTGTTTAATCTCACATCATCTGATCTCGTGTTTAATCTCACATCTGATCTCGTCGTGTTTAATCTCACATCATCTGATCTCGTGTTTAATCTCACATCATCTGATCTCGTGTTTAATCTCACATCATCTGATCTCTCTCCCCCTCTCTGGTCAAATTTAAAAATTAAGTAAATAAATAAATAAAATAGTTTGTTAAAAAGAAAATAGAGCTATTGGCACAGATTGCATTTTTTGTTTTAAAGAATTTTTTTTATATATATAGAGGTTTTTGCTATAGGGCATGTGCGCTCGCCAGAGAGATAGAAAGCGAGAAGACACCCCCCCGGGTTTGATGGCCATGCCTCATTCCCTTCTCCACCTTCCTCCTCTTGGGATCTTGGGCACGCATGCACACACACCCAGTGTGAGTTTTAAGCCACCAGGTTCGGGACGCAAACCACGGTCGACTACATGGGAGTCCAGTGACATAGCCATTACGTTAATTGCTGGTCAAGAATTATTTTTATTAACTTTATTTATTTATTGACCTGATGGCTTAAAACTCAGACTGGGCATGTGCATTCCCAAGAAAAGATTGTAGAAGGGATTGCGCCGGTGTGGTTACCTCCCCTAGGGGCTGATTTGTCACACTCTGCGAGTACACGCACCCTGTAGCAAAAATCATTCTCTTTTTTAAAAAAAAAAAAAAAAACAACTGTAAGACTTTTCTAACGGTACATGTCTTTCATAATGATCCGCTATGGTCCACACCTGAGTACGCTATTGAGGTGGCTCTAGTGGGGCACCTAGATAAACTCATGGCGGAGGGCAGTCCTCAGACCACTCACTCAATTAGGTGCTTGGAACTTTTCAGTCCCACTTACAAACTTGGGGGGTGAGTGGCTGAAGATTGAGCTCTATGAAAACTCTTGATTTGATGGGTTTCCAGGGTGGCGAGCACAGGGCAGCACTGAAGCTATCAGCTCCCTTCTTACTCCGCCCGTGCAGCTCTCATTTGGTTCCTCAGTTGTGTCTTTTATGGTAATGGGAAGTAGAAAGCTCTCGTGAGTTCTATGAGTCATTCTGGCATGCGTCATGAGAACCCATACATTTGTGGCCAGGTTAGATAGAAGTGTTTGGGTACCCTTGAACCTAGTACTCAATACTGGCTTCTGAAGTGAGGCTAGTTTGTGGGGCCTCGAGCCTGCTGCTCGCTTGCAGCATGTAGCGTACACATCCAGTTGGCTTAGGAAAGAAAGACACGCCAGGTTTGTGTTAGGTGTCAGGGCGTGTCTCACAGTCACGTGCCTTTCCTCTCTGAAGTTAGATCCTGTGCTCTGAATATAGGCTGGTCTTTGTAGCACCTAGCCCAGTGGTTTGTGCACAAGATCTTCCAAGACAAACTTTGCTCCAATTAAAATGGTTCCCATACTTAAGATTATGCCTTTGGACGTAGATACTTCATCAGGTAGTAGAAACAGGGTTTATTTTATGCAAGAGCAGTTTTTCTTTCAAAACTGTAAGGTTTGCAGCATCAGATTCCAGGGGCTTTTTGTGTACAATTGAATGATAATCAGTATGTTCACAGGTTGCAACTGTCACCACAATGTTTAAGAACATTTTCATCATCCCTAAAAGAATATTGTATTCCTGGGAACCAGCAGTTAGCGAGCGTAATGGCTATGTCGCTGGACTCCCACGTAGTCAATCGTGGTTTGCGTCCCGGACCCAGTGGCTTAAAACTCAACGCCGGGTGCGTGCGGGGGCGGGGCCATCCCCCCTGGGGGGGTGATTTCTCGCTTTCTGTCTCTATGTCTCTCTCTGTCTGTCTGGCGAGCGCATGCGCCCTATAGCGAAAACCTCTCCCCCCCCCACAAAAAGAATATTGTATTCCTTGCTTATCTTTTCCCATTTTTCTCATAGTCCTTGCAATCCCATCAGCCCTAGGCAGCCATCAGTCTGCTTTCTCTATGGACTGGCCTATTCCAAATGCTTTGTGTAAATGGAATCATAGTGTGTGGTGGTTCCCCACATCCTTTTTTTTTTTTTTAAAGAGAGTTTTGCTGTGTAATGCTTGTGCTCGCAGGAGAGAGACAGAAAGTGACAAATCACTCCACGCCACAACCCTTTCTCTTCCATTCTCCGAATTTGGGGCACACACACATACACACCTGGAGTTCGTTTTCAACCACCGTGTCCAGGACTCGCACTGAGGTGGACTCCATGGGAGTCCAGCAACTTAGCCGTTATGCCATCTGTTGGTCCTGTGGGTTCCTTTTTATTGCCTGATACTCTGTTGTATGGATATGTCATCCATTTATTAGTTGATGGACATTTAGATTGTTTTTACGTTTGGGCTCTTTAGTTATATCTGGTTAAAAGGCTCAGACATATTGGTTACCAGGGTAAATAGTAACCAAACTTGAGTTTGTGGGAATATCCTAAGTCAAAGGCCTACAGCCAGCTGTTTTTCTTTCTTTATACTACGTAGTGAGAGCAGTGGTGAGCACCCTCCACAGGGTCTGTTCACACCACAAGCCCCCCTCTCCAGAACTCCAGCCGCCCAGATCTCGGGTACCTGTGCGCATGCCCTGTGTTTCTGGCTGGCGGGGCAGGAGATTCCAACTGCAGTTGCCATGTGGGATCTGGCGTCTCGACTTCCACGTTGCCTGTGCACTATGAAGCCACCCCCACCTGCCTATTTTTATTGAAACAGCCACATGACTCAAGGTCATTGCATTACAGGTTGTCGGGCCATTTTCATCCAGTGCCAGAGGTGAATAGTTGCAGTAGACAGTCTTACCAAAAGCATGGAAAACCAATGTTGACTGACCGGTTCCCTGGCCCGATCTATTGTTGAAGCCCTGACTTCAAGAAGCCTTCATGTTTACTAAATGCTTTCTCTTCTTATTTTTGGGCAGGCTGAGAACATTTATAATGATGAAGACCCTGAAGGAAGCGTGGATCCAGAAGGACAGGGGTCCTAGATATGTCTGCACTTCTTGTGATTTTAGACTCCCCCTTTTCCTCTCAGCCCTGCGATTGGTTTAACACTGGTTTTGAGACATACGTTAGATCTACTATCCCTCTGATAGGTATCACCAATACTCTTACCCGAACAGTGGGTGTTTTCTAAATATGAACTGGGGGGCTTAATTTAGCAAAGCCACAGACTTATATTTAAATTTTCTTCAGGAATTTTCTAGTAACAAACCCAGGTCTACAGTAGCCACAGAAAGGGGAATATTATGTGTGATTATTTTTCTTCTGATGCTGTATCCCCAAGTTTTTCAGACTCATTTAAGTAAATGCTAGAGTGAGTAAGGAATAGAGCCAAGTGAAGTAGGTGTCTGAGCCATGAAGTATCCATACTGCGCGATGATGCCATCCTTATTCAGGACGTAGGGGAGATTCGGTCCTAGATTCCTGCTCTGAAAACCTTCACGCCCGGCTTTCCGGGTGCACATTTCCTGGTAGACCAGGCTCCTCGGACTCTTCAGTTAAGAAAACTACATGTTCTTCTTTGCCCCATATATTTTTGCTCGTTAGTGTATTTCTTGAGCTGTTTCCATATTATTTCTTTCCTTTCTGTGAAATGGGTTTTTTTGTTTTTGTTTTTAAACTTGGGACCACCAAGTTGTAAAGATATATGTTTTTACCTGACAGCTGTACCACAGGTAGACTGTCAAGTGGAAAAGAGTGAGTCGATAGCTTGTATTTGTTTTTGAAATTAAGTTAATCCTTGATAAGAGTTGCTTTTTTAGGAGTTAGTCCTTGACCACTAGTTTGACCCCTCTCCATTGGGGGACCTGTCTCACCTGCAGGCCTGTCGCTCTCCGTGACTGACTGTGTAAGTGCTTATATGGAATAAATCGCTTTTCTACATAGCCGCATGCTGGTGGGTTTTATTTACACATGACTCCATCGAGCACGAGTCTGGCTTCTACAAGGATTGTGCATATGGCAGTTATTTCGCATGGTATCTGACTGTCAAGAGCAGAATGAAATATAATAGACCCATAGTCATAGAAAAGAGCTTTAGTTCTTCCCGAGGAAAGTGGCGTAGTACACTGAATCACAGGTGCACGTAATAGTCTGATAAAATACATCTTACTGAAGTCTGCCCCTGGAGAACCAGGCATACTTGAGTGTCAAAGGCAGTGTGGTAGAGTGAATGTAAGGCAGAACTTAAACTTGGAAAGGTGGTTGGGCCTTTTCTCAGAAGTTGAATCTACCCAGTCTGTCACTCACTAGGGCCTGTACTTGGGAGTTAGAAATCATGGACTCCGGGACCAGCAGTTGGCATAATGGCTATGTCGCTGGACTCCCATGAAGTCGACCACGGTTCAAGTCCTAGACCGGTGGCTTAAACTCACACCGGGTGTGTGCGTGTGCGTGCCCAAGGTCCCAAGAGAATGGAGGAGAAGGGATCACAGTGTGGCCATCCCCCCGGGGGGTGATTTTTCGCTGTCTCTCTGGCGAGCGCACGCACCCTATAGCAAGCCTCAAAAAAAAAAAAAAAGGACTCTTGTTAAGCAGATAAAATACCTGATGTTTTCACATGCGGTTTTTTTGGTATTTGTTTTTTTTACTGAGTAGACTAATATGACCCCAAACTACACTCATAAGAATGCAGCCTTTGGGGAAATCTTAGGTTGAACCTGAATTGGTTCCTTATTTCCAAGTCTGGTTGGTTTTAAAGTAGAGTGAAAATTGTCTTAGTAAAATATGAACAAGCATAGTCTTTAAGAAGTAAACTTTGTAAGAGGATGCACTCATAGCACAAAGTAATTCACATTATAAACCCATATAATGAAAACTGGTCGCCCTTTGACCCCATCCGTCCCCGCCCCCACCCTCCCAAGTATGTTTTTAGTTTGGGTCAACACAAGGCAAGGTACATTCTTCACGATACTGCAAGGTGTGTCCGTACATTCATCCTGTACTTGGCACCTGTGTGCGGACTGCTGCCGGAAGACCAGCGCTCTCCCATCCTCAGGACACAGGTCAGGGCCAGCAGCCCAGAGACGGTGCTGCTGGGAGTTGGCTGCTGCTCTGCCTCCAGCCAGCCCTACGAGCTATTTTAAACACGTCAGCCCTTATTTGCAACTTTCAGGAAGTGAGCTGCTTGCCAAATCTCTGGTGTTCCTCTGGGGGAAAAATGTCCAAAGAATATTTAACACTCCTTTGCTATGAAGTGGTTTTTGTTTCTGGGTTACAGATTCGGCCATACTTTTCTAAACAGCCCCTGTAAGGTTGAGAAAATAAAAAGGAGTTAAGTTTATCATAACATGAAATAGTGTAGTAAAAAGTTTCTAACAATGAACTTGCAAGGTTTGGTTAGTATAGGCTGTTGGGAAGAGACTGCTTTAGTGTGATTTTTATATGATCAGGGAGGACTTTCCTTCGAGCAAATATTTAAGTGCCTCATATTTGCAAAACAGTGACCAGGAGTGGGTAAATTTTTTTCTCTGCCCAGGGTAACTTCACACAGGTATTTCAGTGCCTAAAAGTCTGTAATTTCTTTTTAATTGGCTATTGGGTACATGCAGTCACCAAAGAGGGAAAGTGAGAAAGCACTCCCCAGTGGGAGTGGCCACACTGCAGTCCCTCCATTCTCCTCCGAATTTTAAGCATGCACACATACACCCATGGATTTCAAGATGCCGAGCTGGGACTAGGACTAGTTAGTTGGCCATGTGGGATCCAGCTGCTTATCTACCACACCACTGGCTGGTCCGTCTTGTTTCTTTGGAATAATTACTCTCTGTCTCAGTGTGATATATACAGAAGTGTCTGATCAGACCATTCTCAATGATACGGTTATCCAAATCTCCCAAACAGCAAGTGTAATCAGAGGAAATCTTGGACGTGACGTTAGGGAAAGCATCAGTCAAAATATTTGTGAATTCCCAGTTACATGTTTAACCAGGAAATGAATGAAATGTGTGGGCATCTAGAGTATACACATGGTGGACGATTTACCACACTTTCTTTTACCCTTGGTTTCTTTAAGGGACCCTAGAACTTAAAAACGGGCCAGCAGAGCAGCCTGGTATTTAAGGCACTGGGTTCCACACAGCCAACTGGAGCCCACAGCCATTGGCTTGAAAAACACGCCGGGTGCATAGGCATGCCCCAAATCCCTTTCTCACTTTCTGGCTGGCTGTCTCTTCAGCAAGCACAAATGCCCTGTAGCAATCTTTATCCGAGAGAGATTATTGCTATAGGGCATGAGCACTCACTGGGGAGACAAAGTGAGAAATCACCCCCAGGTGGGATGGCCATGCCACAATCCCTTCTAGTGCATGTGGGCAAGCACGCATACAGGTTTTAATCCCCCAGGTCCAGGATTTGAACCTTGGTCAACTATGTGGGAGTCCAATGACGTAACCATTACACCATCTGCTGGCCCCAGTAAGTTAAAACCAAAGCAATTGTAGCGGATTGGGGGTGGGCCATGCTCAGTTCACTGGCCTCCGGTATCGCCAGGCTCTAAGTCTGCGACTAGCTTTCCCAGCTCCACGCAAAACCCGTCTGCATGTTTATTACGTAAGGAGAGTAGTGGGTAGTGTGATGGTATTTCACGCAGCGAGCAGTACTTCTGTCCCTCAGCCTTCGGAGAATGCCCCTCAGATCTCTGTAGTAAACCGTCTCCTTGGCCTGCCAGGCTGAATCTGACAGCACAGCTGCCTTTCCTGCCCTTCTGAGGAAACCGCTTCACCGTGAGAGGCCAAGAAACAGAATGCCCAGAGTCAAGCAGTTTTATCCTGCTGCAGAATTCCTGGTGCTGGGGCCGGCAAGTGGCATGGTGGTTAAAGGCGCTGGACTCCCACATGGCCGGCCATGGTTCAAGTCTCGGACCTGGTGGCTTGCTTTCTCACTTCCTCTCTCTCTCTGATCAAGCTGGAAAGTGATAATGGTAATAATAAATAAAGTTAAATAAAATAATTCTCTAAAAAAAAAAAAAAATTCCTGGTGCTATCTACAGCATAGTGAGTCCTACTAGAAACTGAAACATTCCAAATGACAGATGCTTCGCCCAAGCATTCTGGAGGTGCGGGTTATTCCTGAATGACTTGTCGTTAGATGCACTTCGGTTATCGTTAAAACCCTTCATTAGTATAGTTAGGCAAGCAGTGACGATGCCTGCAGAAGTCACCTTGAGACTGTGTCTTGATTCCACCTGCCTGAGCTGTGGGAACATCGGCTTGTTCCAGGCTCTTGGGTAGCATAGCCCTTTAAAAAAAGAGAGCCAATTCCCATCTGTTCATGATTTGAAAATCGCAAATCATTTTTTTGGTTCCTGATAGGTGGGACCTTCCGGAGCCTTCCCACCCCCCGCCCCCACCCCATCCCTCAGCTAGCAGTCGGGCAGACTCGGCACAGCAGACACTGACTTGTAAGTGGAGAGCTCTTCAGTAAGACTGATCCTTAGCTGCTCCATCTCTCTGTTCTTCTGTTGCTGGAGTTGCACCCCGCTTCTTAACTGCCTCTGGCGTTCTTCCATCTCCTCCAGCTGCTCCTGCATGAGATGGCCAGAACCGTTTCTAATGAGCCGAGGAATAAACTGACATCGTCCGTTACAGTCTGTAAAGCACTTTCCTGTGTATGGTCTCATCTTCACAGCATTATTGAGGCTGGTATAAGCTTAAGGTTAAGAACTAGAATGAAAAAAGTTGTGTCTTGGGCCTGGCAGGTGGTATGGTGGTTGACATTGGACTCCCACATGGCAGACCGCGGTTCGAGTCCTGGACCTGGCGGCTTTCTCTCTCTCTCTCTCTCTCTGTCTCTCCCTGGTCAAATTTAAATAAATTTTAAAAAAGCTTCTTAAAAAAAAAGTTGTGTCTTGACAGAGTGGCACTTAAAAATGGTGACCAAGGGCCAGCAGGTGGCATCGTGGTTAAGGCACTGGACTCCCACATGGTTGCGGTTTGTTTTCTCTCTCTGGCCAAAGTGAAGAATAATGATGCAAACTGAAATTAAATAATTTTTTGGGGGGTAGAGGTTTTTGCTATAGGGTGCGTGCGCTCACCAGACAGAAAGCAAGAAATCACCCCCCGGGGGGATGGCCACGCTGCAATCCCTTCTCCGTTCTCTCGGGATCTTGGGTGGGCACACATGCACACATGCCCGGCGTGAGTTTTAAGTCACCAGGTCCAGGACGTGAACCGTGGTCAACTACAAGGGAGTCCAGCGACATAGCCATTACACTAACTGCTGGTCCCAATAAATTTTTAAAAAAGAAATGATGACCAGGCGAGCTGGTAGCATGGTGGTTGAGGTAGCTTGATTGCACACGGCTAACTGCGTGTTTGAGTCCTGGACCTTGTGGCTTGAAAAAAACAGTATGATGTGTGTGTGAGTGCCCACAATTCCAGAAGGAGAAAGGATTGCAGTATGGCCATCCCCTCTGGGGTGTTTTCTCACTTTCTCCCCCTGCTCCCATCACAAGTGCACTCATCCTGTAGCAAATTTTTTAAAAATGAAAAAGGTGAGCTGAGAGGGGTGTGTTATCTGTTCACTAGTTTGTTCCAGTCCTAGAAAAGGTGAACTGGTACTCAAGCACTTGGTGGTTTCTCAGTCTTAGGGGAGGATTTGGGTCCTTCAGTTGGTTAGCTGAATTTCACATACTTTTCCATGTGAAAGTCTGTTAAGATCATCAGTAGTGAGGTCGGCAGGTGGCGTGGTGGTTAAGGGCACCGGACTCCCACATGGCGGACAGTGGTTTGAGTACCGGACCCAGTGGCTTGCAGTCGGCTACATGGGGGTCCAGCAACACAGCCATTATGCACGCTAGCTGCTGGTCTCTACAGGCCTGTCTTCTCACTTCCCCTTCCCTCTCACTGTGCCCCTCTGCTCACATTCAAATACGTTAAATAAAATAATAATTTTTTAAAATGATGTTTAAAGAAATATAATCAATGGTTATTTAATTTTCTCAACAAAACAAGTGGGAAAGTGAGGAGCACGCCCTATGGAGGACTGGTCACGTCAGTCTCCTTTCTCCTTGGAAGATGTTAGGCATTCATGCACACACAGCCTGTGTGGTTTTTTCTTTCTTTTTTTTTTTTTTTGAGAGGTTTTCGCTATAGGGCGCATGCACTCACCAGACAGACAGAGAGAGACAGAGAGACAGAAAGCGAGAAATCACCCACCAGGGGGGATGGTCACACCGCAATCCCTTCTCCTCCATTCTCCTCTCGGGATCTTGGGCACGCACACACATGCGCCCGACGTGAGTTTAAGCCACCGGGTCCGGGATGCGAACCATGGTCGACTACGTGGGAGTCCAGTGACATAGCCATTACGCTAACTGCTGGTTCCCACAGCCTAAGTTGTAGGCCTGGTTCCCACACCCTAAGTTGTAGGCCAGTAGGTGGTGCGGAGGTTAAGGTGTTGTATGCAATGCACAGTTTGAGTCCTGGACCTGGCAGTTTCAAAATCATGCCAGGTGTGTGCATGCGTACCCAAGATCCTGAGAGGAAAACAGAGGAGAAGGGATTATGGCATGGCCTTCCTCCCTGAGGGGGATCTCTCTCTCTCTTTCTGACTCATGTGCCCGATAGCAAAACTTTAAAAAATTAAGTTGAAAGAAACCAAGTGGAAGAGTGTTAAATACTGGCTAGGGTTCTAGAGGGATTATATAGCTGACAGAGGTTCATGTTTAGGAGCTGATTGGGTTGTTTGCAATAAAACTAACTTTTGCTTCTATATCTGAAGCTCCTTAAAGTTAGAAACACCTCTACTTTAGGGAACCAGCAGTTAGCGTAATGGCTATGTCGCTGGACTCCCACGTAGTCGACTGCGGTTCGTGTCCCGGACCCGGTGGCTTAAAACTCACGCCGGGCGCGTGTGCGTGCGTGCCCAAGATCCCGAGAGGAGAATGGAGGAGAAGGGATTGTGGCGTGACCATCCCCCCTGGAGAGTGATTTCTCGATTTCTGTCTCTATGTCTCTCTCTGTCTGGCAAGCGCACGCGCCCTATAGCGAAAACCTCTCCAAAAAAAAAAGAAAAAAAAAAAAAAGAAACACCTCTACTTTATAGCACTCACTTTTTTTTCCCCCACCAGAGTGAGAAAGAGAGAACATAAGCCTGTCGGCCGTGTGGGATGTAGCGCCTTAACCACCACGCCACCTGCTGGCCCCACTAGCACTCACCTCATCTGTGAACAGAGGTTTTAGTTGTGAGGATGCTGGCTGTCCGTCCGTTAGTTAACCTCCTGCATCCTTTACTGTTACTCAGAAACACTGAACCTGTTCGAGAGTTCTCAGAAGTGAAGCTGCACTCGAGAGACCCTGGGGAGCCCCGGTTGCTCCGTTGCCCGTTCTGCCCAGACTGAGCTGGTTTCATTGTGTGCAGTACCCCGAGGAGGCAGGGAGGGCGTCCGCAGCGGCCTGGACCTTACGGAAGCAGAAGGAAGTTGGGAGGGCAGAGGTTGAAGCTAGAAGGTGCGTTTCAGAGGGGCAATGACCACCTCGGATCCAGTCCGGGTACGTGCTATTGTTAGAAGGATCTGACTTGCTCGGAGTCATCCTAGCTCTTGTGCCCGTGCTTCAGGCTGCCATGTTTGATGCCGACTGAATCTCAGCTTCCAGCAACGTTGTTCAAAGGCCTTTTTTCAAGTGCCTGGCCATGCCTTGGAGCCACACTGCAAGATACAGCCTTACCACCAGCATCAGGGAGGCTGGGAGGCACCTGTGTCCTGCTGTCCCAGTTTCCCAGCTCGCTGCTGGCAAACCCATTCTGGTGAGGCACAAAAAGCACATGGTTGGGAAATCAATCTGTGCCCGCGTGGTGAGCCCTGGTGGGGCAGAGCAGCCTCGCTGGCATGAAAGGATCGCCGTGCAGGAAGGGCAGCATGTCGTGCACCACTGGGTTACCTTTGGGGACTTCCATCCTCAAAACCCTGCAAAGGCCCCCTGCTTTCTGCATTGGCTCTCAGACACCCCCTGGGTAGGCCCCTGCCTCTAGCATGGACCTCTCAACTTCCTTATCTGAGCATTTTCCTCGGTCCCCGCACTGTCCAGGACAGAAGCCACTCACGCGTGGCCATTGAGTATTCTAAATAGGGCTGTAAGTATAAAAGATTTAGTGGCCTTCTAAGACTTAACACAAAAGGGTAAACTACCTCAAATGTTGGCACTGTTATATGTCGAAATAATACATGCTAGGTTAAGTAAAATGTATTAACGATCACTTAGGGACCGGCAGGTGGTGTGGTGGATGAGGCGCTGGGCACTCCCACATGGCCGACCGTAGTTTGAGTCCCAGACCTAGTGGTTTGCTTTCTTACTTTCTCTCTCTCTCTGGCTGATCAAATTGGAAAATAGTAATAATAAATAAAGTTAAATAAACTAATTATATAAAAAAAAAAGATCATTTAGCTCACCTTTTTTTAAAGTGTTTGTGTGTGCTCACCAGAGAGAGAAAGTAAAAAGTCACCCCCCAGGGGGGATGGCCATGCCGCAATCCCTTCATTTTCCTCCTAGGATATTGGGCACATGTGCACACAAGCCCAGCATGATTTTCAAGCCACCAGGTCCAGGATTCAAACCAAAGTCAGCCATGTAGGAGCCCAGTGCCTAACCACCATGCCGCCAACTGCCCCCCCCAACATATTTATTTATTTAGAGAGATTTGCAGGAGAGACAGAGACAGATAGAAAGCAAGAAATTGCCACCCCCCCAGGGGGGACAGCCAGGCTGCAGTCCCTTACCCTCTCAGGATTTGGGGCATACAGGCACATGCACCCGGCATAAGTTTTAAGCCACTGGGTCAAGGATGCGAACCATGGTCGACTATGTGGGAGTCCAGTGACCTAACCATTATGCCATCTGCTGGTCCCTTATTTATCTTTTTTAATGTGGCCGTTAGAAAATTTGAAATTTGGAACCAGCGGTTAGCGTAATGGCTATGTCACTGGACTCCCACGCAGACGACCAGGTTCGCTTCCCAGACACGGTGGCTTAAAAGTCACGCCGGGCGCATGTGCGTGCGTGCCCAAGATCCCGAGAGGAGAATGGAGGAGAAGGGATTGCAGCGTGACCATCCCCCCTGGCGGGTGATTTCTCGCTTTCTGTCTCTATGTCTCTGTTTGGCGAGCGCACACGCCCTATAGCAA